AGGAGGTAAGAAATTTAGAAGAAAACATACAAGATAATATGTTCTTTGCGTTTTCTTGTTCCTCTATTTCGCATTTATGCTATATATCATCTCTTGATTTCCCGATTTCTTTCAATGAAGCAATACAAGAGTCCATAAATAAATTATCACAAAAACCAAAATCATCAATTCCTTCATTATGTGATGGGTTATTACAGCGTATAAGTGAGCTTGAAAAAAAAACTACGGATGCTTCAAGATTTTTACCTCCTTATGACCAAAGGCAGTCAATTCTGGTATATCAAAATTTTACAAAATCTTTCACATCTTTCACATAAGTATTTAATCGGTCAAAAATTTTTAATCGATTAGTCAGCCGACTAAAACTATTAGTCATCAACTGACTAATATTCAACTCGTTGACTAATTAACTAATATAACAATCATATCTGTAATAAATAATACTTTTTAGTCGACTAATTAATCGATTGATTGTAAAAAGATTTAGTCGACTAACGACATTGATTCCTATCCTTAGACTTTCACATAATAGATATTCATTTGAATATTTACTTTTTTTGAATAGCAAATAAGGGCATTAATTGAAGATCTTAACATAAAAAAGGCAGAATTGACTCCGAAGAACAAATTTTCGTTTAAATCGAGAAAAACGACAGGATCAACAGAAAAAAGTGTGTCAGTTGAATCAAACAAAATCGTAAACAGTGACTTGGAAGTTGTCACTTCAAATAATGAAATTGTTCCTACTATCACTTCACTTAATCAAAACTTCCAAACAGTAACTCTAGATAATAAACAAAATTGCTATGTCAGTGTAAAGTCATATTTAACAAATCTAGAAAAGTCTGAAGAAAAAGTAATGGATTTTCAAATTTCGAATTTAGACCATTGTATTGTGAACCTTGTAAGTTCTAATGTAGTTATAGGTGCGATGCATATTAAAGGATTGAGGGATACTATTATATTGGCAGGTCCTGTTAGAAGCTCGATTTTGATTTATGATTGTGAAAGATGTGTGTTTTTGATCGGATGCCATCAGGTAAGATTAAATATATGTATATATTTTTAAAAAATTTCGAATAATACTTAGGAAAGTGAATTAATGTCTTTATAGTTCAGAATGCATACATCCAGACAAATGACTATTTATCTTCATACAACAAGTCATCCTATAATCGAAGACTGCCATAATATTTTGTTTGCACCTTATACATTATTGATTCCTGACTTGAATAATATGTTTGAGGTTAAGACAATATTTTAATCAAGCAATGTTTATAATAATTGATAGTAACTTTACATTAACACAATGTATGTACTTTTTTTTATAGGCGGCTAAGTTAGATCAAAAAAATAACAAATATGATAAGGTTGAAGACTTTAATTGGTTAAAACAACAGGCATCTCCTAATTGGCGAACTGTTTCAGAAAACAAAATACTTAAGAATTGGCCGTTTCTTCATGCGGATAATTCAGATGATACTACAGAAGAAACTGTTTCAACTGTGTTGAATGAGATTTTGGAGTCTCAATTAATTCCTTGATTATTTCCATTACATATTTAGTTTCTAGATAGATACTGTATTTATAAATTTTATTGCATTTCAACATTAGATTTATTATTGATCCTGATTTCAGATTGATAAATAAATACTAGTCACAATGAAACCTCCCTATGTGTACATCATAGCTAAATGCACTTTTATAAATGTACTCACTATATAATGCGCAATCTAGTTTTGTTATAGCTTAGTTCTAGCTTATATGACTTTATATAATTTATCTTCTAAATACACACCCTCTTACAGTACATACGAAATCTAACTATTATAAATTGCATCATTAATCTTACTGGCATAAGACCATTCTATCAACCATGATCCGGTTGTAGACCTTTGTCCCGTATTTGTAGGTGCATTAACAAAATGATTAATCGCCAACATCATCTGTTTGGCACATATGTTTTCCGATAGCCCCCCAACACCAGTTCCAAACCCGGCGCATACAACAGCGTTTATACGTTGATGTTTACTGCTTTCTTCAAGTATTTTAGCATTATGCATTCTAACAGCAGTGAGCATAGCCCAAGTACATCTGTAAACAGTATCATCTTCACTCAAAGATTTAGGTATTCGCATGGTAGGGCAATGAGCTATATATCCCGGAAAACTCCTTTTTTCATCATCGCGCATTGAATTATTCTTAATCTTTGTGGCTAACTCTCGAACGTCAACCAATAAACAAGTACCAACATTTTGTTCACCACACCATTCAAAATCTATGGTTTTTTGTACAATTGGAATGAGTTTATCTGTACCACCGTAGTACTCTGAAATATAATAGTCTATACCGCCATCCATTAATCCAAAACTGTTTGCGGGAGAGACCAAACATTCTGCCTGGTTAGTTTTTAACAAATTTTGAAAGGTGTCATTGTGAATTTGAACTTTCAAGCACTGAGTCAGATCGTCGGTTGATACTTTAGCTGGAAGTTTTTTGAGTTCATGAGTCCACTCTTTTACCAATTCCTAGAGAAAAAAAAAAACTGTCTCTATTTTGTTCGATAAATATTGTAAGTTGCATTATAATATGAATATACATACATCACTTATGTCCACAAGAAACAACTTGAAAGCGTGTGGAGGTAGCTGCGAAGATGTCTCAATTGTTGGTACTGAAACGTTGGTCTCCATCCTACTTATCTTATTTATAGTAGTTAATAAAACAGAAGGAATGTTGAAAATCGGGTTCGGTTTTATTTTATAGAAATGATTTCCCAGACGATGTGAATAAACCTGTCGAAATAAACTGTTTAACATTCATAAAAGCAGCAATGGCGGTATTTTTATTCCGATTCACAATTTTTTTTATACTCAATTCGACTTTGTATTACTGTCACTATTATAACTATCTTGTGTACTACGCATGTGCGCATGAATATTATATTATATTAACAAATAATATATAACATGTTATTGATGACTGCACTAAAGATTTATACAGTTTACGTCATTACTGTTTTTACGTCCTTTTTTTATGGCTTAAATTTTAACGATGGTAAAAAAAAAGGGATGATATAAGAAAAAAGTTTAAATTGATGACATAAACTATACAAATGAAAAATATTGTAGTCGTCAATAACTATAAAATATTAAATGCCAAGAGAACATATCATCTAAAATGATACCTCCA